TTTCTGGCCTCAATATTTCTCTTAGTTTCACTCCCACTCGTCTCCTTTTTTAAAATCCTTCTTTACTGACTGTCCACTCGTTTCATTCCACCTGATAACCGCAGTCTCCTCTCTCTGTCTGACATATGGACAAAAATGAAAGCTCATCACCTCCAACTATGAACCCCTCAAACTTCTTCCAGCAAACCCCACCATACACCACAACATCTGAATCCCGATATCTTGCGTCTGAAAAGTGGGCTGTCACGGTTGAAGACCGGCTGACCTTTAAAGTAATCACGTTGCCTCCGTCTCTCGTTTGTGCCGCTTCGCATCGTTAAACACGAGAAAAGAATCAGGCCTGCCGACACACAACATGTCACCCAGTCATCTGCGCTCACCTCCCACCTCGACTACTCCAACGCTCGGCTATCCGGTCTCCAAATCCGTACTGTGAAAATATTTAGACAGTCCTTTAGTCTTCAATCAGCCTAAAAAAGTACGATGTTTATGAAGCTCCGCGGGCCACCCGTAGCTGCCTGCGTCAGATTCAAGCCTTCAAAGATCTTAATGGAAACTCGAACGCGCTCTCAAATACTGACACTCCAGTCATTGACGGATTGTCGGCTAGCAGCGCCTACACCGACCTGAAGGTGTGTACGGGTCAGACCTTTGGCAATGCATCTACCAGAAGCAAGGCATTCCTGTCCATCTCCTTCAAGAAACTCTTGAAGACCCAGTTTGTCATAACATCTCCTACTTTTAGCAACCACTGAACTTTGTTTCCCTTCTCTTGCTACACCGTCAAAATTCAAAAGTGCTTTTGCTTTGACTTGCGCTGATAAAAATACTAATGGTGTTTTTAAGGGTCCTCAAGGTTGAAACTGATGGTGGAGGCGCAGAACTCTCCCAGATGTCTAGAAGAAAAGAATTTACAAATACTCTTAATGCAAATGAAATGTTTTTGTAATCGTATCTCTGAAGAGTCATTGCAGAAGGTGATGCTTTGGGTAGGAAGGATTTCCAGTAACAGTCCAGCAACAAATCTGAAGACGCCTCTGACTGAAGATGCTGCATGAGAATCTCATGATTGTGGAAAAATACCAACATTCCCAGGCAGCAGAGGTTGTGTTCTAGCATGTAGAATATTTTACAACTTTATTCTTGTAAAAGTACGAGAATAAAGTCACTTAAGAGAATAGATTTGAATTCTAATGTATTATATATACTTCATTCTCAAAATGGGCTTCATTGTTTTTTGTTTTTTTATATATTTCTAAGCCTAATACTCTGTCACAATATTCCACAGTAACATTTCCTGCATGACAAAATGAGTTGTCAGCAAGCACTGCTAATCCACCTCATTTGCTTTTGCCCTTCCTTTTCAAATCTGTCATTATGAATCTGAATATTATCCCTTTTAAGTAACTTATTGCTGTTTCTGATATTAACTGCGTAACATCATCCCCGTTGGCAAATCGCTTTGGATGAAAGTGTCAAATATAGAACCGTTTTCTCGTTTCCTTTTGTTTAATCTCTGTCTCTCTACTTGTGTCTTTGTTTCTTTTCTGGCTCAAATTCAACCTTTGTTGCTTTCTCCTGCCGTCTTATCCTCTCAACTTTTTCTCGTCCTCTGCTTTTGATTGCAGCCCTTGGCTTGTTTTTTTTTTTTTTTTTTTCCCTCCCAGCCTTCATACCAACAGAACTGAGTGGACCTCCTACATCTTTCTTACCTCACCCCATTTACCTCCTCCCCTTCCTCCTCCTCTCTAAATCTCCTTTAACAACAGTGATGACTCATGCCCTGTTGCTCCTGTATGTTGCCATGGGGACACCCCCACATCTAATTGCCTCCTCCTGAGGGACTGAACGGACAGACAGAGACGACCGACTCACCGGAGGCAAAAAAAAAAAAAAAAAAAAAAAAAAGAGAAAAACTCCTTGATGTCATTTTGTCTGGGAGACTTTTTGTCTCCGACACAAACACAAACACGGCAGTGTGTTCACTCGGCTCTGACGCTTCTTTCATTCACTCCCTCAACGAGGTGACTGCTGTTTTCCAGCAGGTCGTCTTGAGAAGCCTAATCAAAGAGCGTCGCTTCCCACCAGGGTGAAGAGCACTCTGGATTCGAAGAGGCTTATCAAAAGCCGATTTCATCCGAGAAACGCCGCCAGGACAGGTGCAGGGTGAACGAACTCCGAGGAAATGAAACGCACTAAAAATCCTTGAGCTTTCTTAAACACCTCATTCTTGTCATTGTGACTGAAAAAAAAAAAATGTTTCGAAGCTTTGAAAAATGATTTGTACACCTTGAGTTTTTTCGACATTAGAAACTTGCATCCCCATAATGGCACTGAAAATGCCAGTCGCCACAGTAGAGCACGGCGGTGGCAGCACCATGCCGCGAGAAAGTGAAGCGGTTCAAGGCAATCCTGGCAGAAACCCTGTTGGAGACTGAAAACCATAATTAGAGTAAATCATATTTGCAGAAAGGCTGACAAAAGTCCAGACCGGATGACGAAAGGATAAAAAAGTGGGAAAAGTTTCAAATCGACGGCGCCGGTCTCCATCCAGACCAACGAAGCTGCAGTTGTCTGAAACTCTTCATTACCTGCGTTTCCATTACAAACCTGCACAAAACTGATATTCTGCTAATGTTGGGGGGGGAAGAAAATTCACAATTGAGGTGTTTCCATTTATTGAGGACATCAATTGAAATCACACCTGAATAAGTTATAAGTTAACAAAAAAAAAAAAAAAAACATCCTCCTACCACTTCCTGTCATCTTCTTCGTCTTTTCCGCCACCAGTAACATCCGGTTGTTGGTCATGTGACTTGTGTTCCTACTGCAGTTTACCGACTTCACTAAATTCGTCTGAAAAACCACCTCAACTATTTTTTTTAATCGCCTTGTTTTTTTTATTGAGATTTATTTTGAAAATGTCAAATTGCGCAACATGATCAATGGGAACGCTGCTCTGAAACGTGTCAAAAGTTTGTAACCTGATAAAGAGATCAAGACATGGGGATTATTTTCAGATTCATGTGTTTAAAGAAATATTAGTGTGTAAGTTGTCACTGATGGGTGGCCATCAACAAATGTCACATAATCCTGTAAATGTCAACTGAAAATGTAAAACCCTAAATTGAGAAATTCCTCCATGACCACATCTGAGCCAGTTCCTTCAGTCTGTGTTTTTATCAAGTTCAAATGTTCTTTTTTCCCTCTTTGGTCACTAAACTATTGCAGGTTTACAATGACAGAAAGGTAAAATTATTCTTCAGCCTATTAAAAGCTCCCTCTCAATTTTTATCTCCATCTTTTGTTTCGTTGCAGCATAAAAGAGATTTTTTTTCTTTTAATTTAAGAGGCAATTATGTCTTAAACTCTTGACTTTCATTCTGTCTGGTGAATTAAGTGAAGAGGAGGAAGCGTTAAACGGGAGCCACTGCGCATTGTTCGGATCAGAGAGTTTTTTTTCCCCTGGACAGTTTGACATTGAGTCATGCAGTTCTGGCACCAATCAGGGTTTCCTCACAGTCCGTCATTTAAATGTACAGGAGAGGAAAAGAGAGTGGAGAAGTTTTTCATCACAGGCTTCACACACAAAACAAAGCGAAAGTAACATCGTGGCTTGAATGAGAATAACGCAAACATTTACACCCATGGCCATGTTTCCTGCTGTGTGTGTGTGTGGGGGGAAATTTCTGCTCTGCTTCGTCTCATCTCTTAGGAGATGTGGTGACGATACAGATGTTGTTCCCAACAGGGCTGGACCTGATGCTGCAGGCACAGAAACCCTGCACATGTCTAGGGAATGGGACTTGATTCAGTTCACAAAAACTTTATCTTGCGTGGTGTCGTAACCGGATGATCAACACATCTTCAGAGTCTAGCAGTGAATCTGGAGAAACGTCCCAACAGCTGTTATGAAACAGGATGGACAGTGAAGATGATATTCCGCAGTGCCATGTCCTGGTTGATGCCATCGATTGCTAATCCTCATCATTTGCTTTAAATCTCTGTCTTGATGGGGCAAGGCAGAGACAAATGGTTAGAAACCCGGGCAATGAGATGTTGGGACTGGAGTTTTTGATTAGGGCTGTTGAAAAAGAATCTTTTCGTATCGAGTTTTTTTTTTTTTACGATTAATCGAGGAATCGATTTCTCTCTCTCCTTGTTTCCTTCTGCTCTATTCCTACTGTTCGCTCAAAAACCGTCATGGTGCAGTTTCGACCACAGAAAAGCTGTCGTAGTCCAACCATCGCGCCGCGCAATTCAACGATGCTTATTTGCCTCCAAACCGTTGACAAAACGCCGAACAACTCGACGTCCTCCTGCCGGCACTTCACAACAACTCATAGTGAGAGCTCTGCCCCTCCACAAAGAATGATCTCTAGACTGAACACAATGCGCTACATAAAACATAATCTATCGAAGCTTCGAGGAAATCAGTTTTACTCGAGGAATTTTAGTAATCGAGGTTCTGAATCATTCGAGGAATCATTGGGAAAGATATGATCCTTTCCCAAAGTGACAGACGGAAGAGACGGTTTGAACCTCCTCCTCTCTCTGCATCCAGAGCCTCATTTCAGCTCCTCTCTGTCGCTTTGGGGTTGTAGTTCAGTCTGGATTTGAGCTTTTGAGATGCTAATCAGCTGCTCCCAGTTGTAAAAACAATACCTTGTGGCCGTGGTTATGCATGGCACAGCCAGGAACGCAGCAGTGGATGGAAAAAAGCCCCATTTGGCGGACCAAAATAGAACAATGATTACCTTCTCTGGAATTTGTTTTTCCAGATTTTTCCAGTGGAGCGAACAGCAGGATCTGGTTCCAGGGCAAAGAGGCCGGGCCTCAAGGAAAGAGTCGACCAAGTCAACATCAGAGGAGCTACAGAAGACGAGTGGGCTCTTTTTTTTTCCCCACCTTGAAATTACTTTTAAAACTTCAGTCCCAGTTTGTGACGTCTCCTCAGTCGCGCAGACAGGGCGGTCGAACAGAACAGACGGAGACACGGATTAGACTTCAATGTGGTTTAATTGATGATCACCAGGCTGTTTCCCTTTTACAATGGATCTGCAGTAGTTCTAGTTTTACCAGTCAGATTGAAAGAGACAGAGAGATATTTGATATTGCACATAGGAAGAAAGAAAACAGAATCAAGATTAATACAATGCAAAACAAAACAAACCCCCTAAAAAACAAAACAAAACAAAAAAACAGAGAGAAAGAGAGAGAATCAAACAGAATTACCAATACAGCGTCTTCTTAACATGTTATAGGGCAAACAATAAAAGCAGAGCCCAAGATTATATTACTGTAGTTCATGTCAGTACCAGTTAAGACAATAAGCATTTTTTTTCTCAAATATACCTCTTTAAAATAGCGTTGTCTTTTTTTAAATTATTATTATTATTATTACTATTATTGTTATCTTCATGTTAAACAGTTACATTCAGGATTATAACTAAAAATATCACATGCAGAGAGATTAGATGGACAGATGACACCAGATGCTGATTCTGAAATCTTCTAACGCAGCTATGGACGTGACACAGAACCGGAAGATGCACTTTGTTCCTCCTTTCTGGGGCTCGACGTTATGTCTGTGTTGTTTCAGGAGTTTGCGTGAGCTCGTCACTGACGTCGGTTTCATAAGACAGGGTAGTTTAGTTTTCTGTCAGGTCTGTTCGATCGGAGCGAGATGTACAGATCTGGGTTCTGCAGGTTAGTGGAACGTGTGACTGTTCCGTTTCCGTCCGCATGGGTTTGGAGTCTGCATGTGTTTCAAGTCATATTCAGGAAAAAAGGTTGCAGCTGCAGTTATTATTTATCTGTAAATTCATTTTGTGTAGTTCACGTGTTTGTAGTGGGAGAAAAGAAAATGATAAGTTTAAGGGTTTTGTTGTTCCTGAACCAGAAAAAAGCCATGCTATTCTCCACCTTTAGTTTTTATCTAAACTGGTGAATAAAACAACTTTTTTTTCCCCACCCCCCATTTTTGCCATTTTCGTTTTTAATCCAGCAGCATTCATGTGGTCGTACCGACTCTACATTCAGAAAAAGAAGATGGATCTCCTGTACAGAGCATTTTCAGCTCCTGCGAGGGAGAACAGTTTATTGTTGAGCGTTTCACAGCATTTCTCTCGCAGCCTGGAGAACCCCAAGGCCGAGTATTTGGAATCTACCAACTTAACACACAATATTTTCACAACAAATCATTGCAACAACTCAAACCATCCATTTTACCTAATGCACGCATTGAAAAAAAAAAGGCAGCTTTCTCTTCCTAACTAACCACATTTTCAAAATAAGCAGCGAAAACGACCTTTTCTCAGAGACATTCAGGTATTTTCACCCTTCACTTTGCCCTCCAGTGAACAAGCTCCTTCCAAACTAAAAGTTTATTTGTGCGTTCCCAGCTTTCTTTTTTTTTTTTTTTTTTGCTTTTTTTTTCCCAACCGGCATCAAAATGACAAATTCATCAACAGTGGGATCAAATAAGCTGTCTGTCTTCCTAAAGCATCACAAGTAGAGACAAAGATTACAATGAAGAGACATGAGCTTATGCATCAGCCATCTTTGATTTAAGACTGAAGGACAGCAGATGCAGCACACAGGTTTGGGAGATGAGGTATACAGTGCTGTTATGAGCCAGTTTTACAGCAAAAGAAATTGGCACTGGTATCCTGCTAGCATGAGGTAGCAACGGTGCGTTGCCTTCTATGGAGTCGTTTCAAAATTTGCAAGCCAAGAATAGTTTCTTGTTCATAAAATGTAACAGCTGTGATGACAATGAGGTTGCTTAAATAATAGTTCTTGGTGGCAGCAGAAGCTTTTGATCAGGGTGATGTGGCTGTCCACCCAGGGTAACATGGCTTGGGGATGCCTGAAGCGTGCAACAAAAAACAAAAATGAGTTTTCTTGTGCTTATTTACTTATCCAGTCAATGGAGAGTGGGGACCCCACAGTGTCCTAAAATATGTGACAGGTTTTTAAATCGAACGGTTGATTCATTGTTTTTTAAAAGGCTTGAACACTTTGATCAAATCTATTGAACATAATTTGCAGTTCATTAAACTTTTTGATTATATTTGTGGGGACAATTATCCTTTCGATGCTTATTTTGGTGTCAGGATTCCCTTTGATTGAGGTAAAAATTCAACTTGTGACGCCCAAGGCTGTTATCACCAATGATTTTACTTCCTGAAGGCTTACAAAATGAAATTGTTCAAATGGAGTTTGGGGGCTTGTCCGGGGTGGCATTAGTGCCAGAAACATCACTGCTTCCTGTTCAAAGCTCAGGATTGAATCAATCTTTCACAAATAACAGACAAAAGGACAAAAATCTAAACAATGGAAGGCAAAAATATTGGTTGAAATGAAATTCTTATTTCAGCAAAAAGATAAAATTAAAGTGCCTCTTTAACTCTCCAGCCAACTTGCATATCAGTGAAAATTATGCTATTCTAAAACATCTGGTTGTGAACCAGCAGAGAAATCTGCAGCACTCTAACAGAAATGTAATCGGCTGTAAAGCAGAAAAATCATTTAGTGTAATTAAAAATGTTCCTGCTTACGCTCGCGCTCACGCACATAGTCCTACAGCTAACACACTCCTGCATTCCAACAGTGTCCGGTACGGCCCCAGAAAAATCATTCATGCTGTGGCTTTATAACATTTCCTGGGAAACGCAACATGCAGTTATGTTCTGCAGAGAGTTTGCTTCGTGTCATTTGGTTGGGGGGGAGGGGAGGTCTCGTTCTTGCATATTGTTTGAATCGTCTCCTGCAATGACACTGACGATCTGCACCTCAACGACAAAACAAAACTCTACATTTAAACTCTCCTCTCCTGCTTCAGAAAAGTGCGTTTGTATTTGAATCGTTTGTATTTGGTCTGACGTTCCTCTCCACAACGACGAGGATCCCACCCGATGTTTCCGGGTTGGAAAATTCAGCTCTTTTGTTTTGGAAAAGTGTGTGCAGCCAAATCCGTATAGATATTCTCCAACTGCGGCTTGCCCCACCTAAAGGCACGTAGAGTAAGAGCGGGCTCCCACAGCACCCTTCACACATTTTTTATTCTCGCAAAATAAACCCAATCGTACAAATATTGCCCTTTCCAGCGCCACATTGTTCCCAGTGATGGGGCCCCGCAGAAGAGCTTTGCTACATTTGTCACAGGTCACCGCCTGTTTCCCCACCACATCACTTTGCTGTTGCATTGACAGAAACGGCTTAATGTGACTGAACATAAGGAGACGACGACGATGTTTCACCTCCTCACTCCGTTTGAAATGTACTGCGCTGATAAACGATAACTCTTAACGCGTACTGGAGAAACACGGCAACAAAGACAGGAGATGCAACGAAGCGTCACGCAAATCACGTCGAAGCGTTCCTCTGCCTGGCGCCTACACGGGTTTCACTTGAGCGCAGACGGCCGAAGACTGAAGCAACCTATCAACACCTGAGGGCTGACTAAAGAGAGCATTGACCCTACGCAGCTCGCTGCAACCATCAGAGCTTCAAATGCAAGCATCATGCAGCGGCGAAGCTGTGACAGCCAAGAAAGAAAAGGGGAAGAAAAAAAAGTTTCAAAAAGAGCCGACAGAGGGCCAAACCTCCTACAACTTCAACCACAGAGGACGAGTAGGAGCAGTTTGAGTCACAAAACATCTATTTGTGTCGTTATTAAGATCATACAAATGCTACTGAGCTGAGAGCTGGACTGGAAAAGGATGTGTTGTGTTGTGGAGAGACGAGGGAGCTTTGAATGATGTGTTCATGGTGACGGTGGCTGTGCAGTCTGTTAGCGGGTCACTGTTGAAGCAGGTCATGTTGGAAAATCCTGATTTCATTTAGATCTCAAAGGTGGTTTTTTTGGGGGGAGCAGATTTCCAATCGGTGCTCGTCAGTGGCTGGGTTTCTAAATGCTCTTGAATGGGATCGAAGCTCAAAAACCGTGTCAAGGTCAGCAAAGAAACTCACAAGCGTTATTTTCCGTGCTAACCCCAACTATCACAAATCACAGGCCTAGGAGTTTTCAGCGACTGATTGTTACAGTCAGAAGCTTTTGCAGGAGCGTCGAGCGCTGCTTGCTCTCGCTCAAAATCCAGACGACGATGAGAGGGGCCGGTGGCGGGATGAGACGGGCCGGCGGCGGGATGAGACGGGCGGTGGTGATGGAGGAGTGTGTCGGGGGGAAGGATGGAGCTCAGAACTCGATCTTGCAGGCGGGGAACGACTCGTCCTGCATGACGACGGTGCTGCTGGAGGCCAGAACCATGATGTTTAGGTCCTGCTGTCTCTCGTGGGTCTGCTGGTACCAGTCCCGGGTAACCTCTGTGTCATGAGTCGGTATCACTGTCACCTGTCACAGCACAATTGGGTTGTTTAATGAGAGCAACAGGAGGGAATCTTCAGCGCTTTACAAATGTTTCAGTCAGTATTACAGCCAGTAATTTCAATGAATTTAAATTTGCTTGAGTCCAACAACTCAAAATGCAGCTGCAGATTTCGATATCTATAGATTACGGATGCACTGATCCATATTTTTCACTTTCAATACCGATACACATACCTGGGGTTTAGTATCAGCCCACAGCGATCCGATACAGAAAAATTGCTGAATTGAATTAAATTTTTTCTTTTTCAGCACAGACATAAATGCACTCAGTTACAATTCAGTTGCTAACTCTGCATCAGAAGATCACCTTGAAATGTGGTAAACCCTGCAGTTTCCATGTGTTGTTGTCAAACACGCGAAGGTTTCAGGTACCTGCAAATTGGAGCCCCACTGAGCTTTCCCCTCCAGCAGAGCATCCAGAACTCCACGGCTCGGCTCTCCGCTTCCCGGGTCATTCCCGCTCACCACGTAGTAAGCAGCCCGCACTCTCTTGAAGAACTCCTGGTCCACGTTCTTGGCACTGCAGTGGTTGGGCACGTAAGCCAGGTCTACATACACGGGCGGACCCGGGGGAACAGCTGGGCTAGTTTTCTGGGAGCTGTTTCCTGGATATGAGGGAAGACGCACAGTGGTGGAACGAAGGAGAGCAGCTTATTTATCAACTGAACTAATTACTTCAAATTTGCACATAGACTTCAGCAAAACACATCATATGAGCTACATTACTACCAAGCCAATTAGACTTTGAGTCACTTCAGCCTAATGGACAACTTTCAACCTTTTGAGAAGTTTAAATTGAAACATTTTACATTCAACCAATAAGGTTCTCTTATCATAAGATCATAAAACAACATAAAAGTATTAGAAGTTTTTAAAGGGAAAAAATATCATACATTAGCCTTTTAAAATGGGCATGTCAGACATTATTTATTCACTTCTTAATGTCAATAAAAAAAATCTTTTTTGCTGACCAGCTTTACACATCTTTTGTGATGAGCTCCATACCATCACCCTGATCTTTAACTCACTGCATACAATCTCTGTTGGTTTCAAATCAGGACTGTGGCTGAAGCATTAATGTCACTTTCAATCAGAAGACAGATATTGGTCAAATCTAAATCTGTTGGAGGTATGAATAAGTTTACGGTTCATATGTGTTGAAAGAATTCTGTTGTATTTTGTGTATGCTGTATAGTTCCTAAATGTGTTTATTAACAATAAGAGTACTCTTTAGTTTGAGTAACTGTTGATGGTACTGATAATGTATTGTGAAATAAAGTTCTAGCTTTTGTCTAAATCAAACATTACTGTGTAAGGAAGTTAATCTGATTCAGTCACAATGAAAATCAGACAGGTATCTCTAAACAGATCGTAAAAATTGTAGAAGAATCCATTTTGAAATATGAACTACTTTAGTCGTTTTTACATATTTTAATATAAAATGGCATGTGAAAAGAAAAAAATCACAGTACTATGAAGTTCTTATAGTGGAAGCTTGAAAGTCTTCTGTTTGTGAAGATCTACTGAAATGGATGTTGCTGACTTGTTTCACCAAAGACTTCTTCAAGAATCCTTTAGTACTTCGTAGGGTTGGTGTAGCAGCAAGCTGTGCTTAGTCATACCGAAAGACTGCTGGAATAAGTTCAATGAAAAACAAGTTGCTGTATTTCTGTGACAATCAATACTTCACAATGTAGAGAGTTTTTTGGGAAAGTCTTGTGTCCTAATTCAGTACTTTGAAATCACAAATCTGATTTATTTATCAAAGGACATGAACAGAAAACAGTATTTAACTGTCCCTGGGAAATTATTTGTGCATCCACATCCACATAATTTGAATTAGGTTTAAGTTGGTCTGGGATCTGCATATTTTTCGTGGTGATGCTACGTTGAATGAAATGTGGACTTTAACACACCTGAACTGGTCTTGATGCCGTTGACCAACCCTTTCCCGGGGTTCAGGAGCTCACTCCTCGAGCCTTGCGTCTCAGACATTTTGATCAGTCTGGAGCTTCTGTCTGTGTCCTTTCTCCTGAGGGAGGCGGAACGAGGTGAGCCGGAGTCCTTGGACTTCACCGGAGTAGAAGACCTCTTCCTGGCATCACCCTTACGAGCAGGAGAGGCTGACTTTGGTTTGCCCTTCCTGAGGCCTTTCTTCTTCAGAAGTTTCTCTGTGCCGCTGTGGTCGTTGAGAAGAGCCTCTGGGTCCACCATGCAGACGTCTGGATGGGGCGCGTGGGGCAGGGGGTCTTTCATAGGGGCCGGGAGTGGATCGTGGGGTTTCTGAGACGAGCGTGGTGAAGATCCATGGTGGCTGCTCCCAACTCCAGAGGCAGATTTGTCCACTGGCAGATGCTCTGCGTCTTCGTCAGAGTCCAGATTTCCCTCAGCAGTTATAGATGGACACTCCTCTGTTTCCGGAGGGACGTCGGAGTCTGACTGTGAAGGTATTGACTCACTGACAGACGTAGGAGGTGTCTCTTCCCCGGCTAATGTGACAGCCAGACCAGAGGACATTGCTCCCGTCACCTGGTGTATACCCTGTCCAGCTTCACCATGGTGACTCTGAGCGTGATGGCGCCTGTGCTTGTGCAACCTCCTTTTCACTGAGTGTTGCTCGTGCTCGTCCTCGTCTCCTTCCTGGGAACGGTCGCTGTGTCTGTCCTCCTCACTCTCGTCGCTGGAGAGGTGGTGAAGGCTGGGGTTGATGAAGGATGGGGAAAGCTCACCCTTGCGGTGTTTATACTCGCAGGACGAGTAGTCCTCAGGGTAGGCAGAAGAAGTTGCTCCAGTGTTCAGATCAGAGGGACGACCAGTCTTTACATCTGCTTTGCTTGGTGTTTCTGCATGGTAAGACGCTGCTGAGATGGACATTAACGTAGTATGAGAAGTGGCCCCCCATTCCTTAGTTTCCTCATCTGCTAGTTCGTCTCCATTATCGTAGTTTGGTGGAGGGGTACCTGGATAATCCTCAGGCCTCTGCAAAAGCTCCCAGTCTGACAAGCTGCTCTTTCTCCTTACTTCTAACCTCACTGATGGCTTCTCAAAGAAGCTTTTGTCTTCCCATGTTTCTCCCTCTGCTTGTTTCCCAGTTTCTATTTTTGCGCTCACCTTAGGGTCAGCTGTTTCTTTCTTATCTTCTATACTTCCGTCTTTACAAGTCTTTTCATCCAGTTTCCTCTCTTCTGTCTTCTGTTTGGTGCCTATGTCCCTAATTGTTTCTGTCTTCTCATCTTTTCCACTCATTTCTTTTTCCTCTATATGGACATCTTCCTTCATTTGTTCAATAGCTTCTTTTGTCTTCTCCTTTAAATCTGTTGTGGCACATGAGGTTTGAGTGGCTCCAATGTCACTTGGTGGCGTTATTGAGGCTGCATGTTGAGTTGTTTCTGTTGTCACGGCAGGTTTAGACTCGGTACTGGTAGAGGTGATGGCGACAGTCCTTTCCTCCATGATCTGAACTGTACTCTCTGCTGAATACGTTTCAGTCTTTGAGAAGAAAGCCTCCTTTGGGTCAGACACTTGGATTTTTTGACATTCAATGTGGCACAGCAGGGTACTGTCCTCCAGTTCAAGTGTTTCAGGCTCCTTACTCTTGGACCCCTGGTCAGAGGAGTCAGCCCTTTGGAGAGGAGAGACATCAAAGTGAGTTTCTGATGTAGATGGACTGTCTGGGACAGCTACTGGTTTTATGTTTGGTTGAGAAGTTGCAGGGATGGAGGTTGCTATCTCAGTACTCTGCTTTATATCAGCGTTTTGCTCTTGAGCCTCAGGCTTCTTGGGAGTGGCAGATGAGTCCATAGATGACGGCTTGGACATTTCCCCTGCAGGCTTTGTCATCACCTCCAGGTATTCGTCCCTCTTGAAACCTCCAAAACATGACCCTGTAGACGCCGCTTTAAATGGAAGTTCCTCCTTGGCCAAAGGTACCTCAGAAGTTGGTTGAGGTAAAATTGCAGCTTTCTCCCTCAAGTCCCGGCTGAAAAGTGTAGACGTTGAGGCAGAAGACGAGTAACTGTATGACGCAGAGGAGTATGTTGAAGAGTTTATTAGGGTGGTGTAGGAGATATCTGATGAAGTAGTTTCATGTTCTGTCATGATGTCTGTGCTCTGAAGATTTCGACTTTGGCTGAAATATCTGACGTCACTTGACTCAGACCGTCCAGAGGCATCTGGGAGGCCAGAGGTTTCTTCCTCTTCCACATTCTGCCCAACTTGACTGTCCTCAGAAACACCTTCAGATTTGCTCAACCCACTATCAGATAGCGGAGGACTAGATGCAGGTTTGGACATTTCCTCAGAATGATCAGATGTCAAAGAGCAGCTCATCAGTGTTCTTGTAGATGTTGCTTCTGTTGTTTCTTTTGTCGCAAACTGAGACTGAGGATGTAAAATGTTGGTGTCATCTTTCTTCAGTGCTTCAGTTGAAACATGATCTGTAGGTGGCGACCTTGTTGCCGGTTCAGATAAATATTCAACTTTGTGTTCCATTTCTGTTTCATCAGAAGGTTTTTGAGTGTCTTCTGGTGTGATGCGGCCTTCATTCGTTTTAGGCGTTGAGTCTAAATCTCGACTCTGTGTCTCAGGTTTTGAAGCTGTTGTAATTGTGCTCTCCTGTTTGTCACCTCCATCTGTTTTGCCCATGTCTATGACTTGTGAAGCTGAGCCATCATCAGGAGTTGTTTTACGGGCTGACTGCTCTTTGAGGAAACCTGATTCAGACAACTGGGACATTTTATTTGAGTCCTCTGTCTCCTCCAACTTAGTGCTGTCATCAGAACCGCGTCGGCACATTTCTTTTTCTGACTGCTCCCTGGCTCCCTTTTCCACATCTATATCACTCGACATGTCCTCTTCGTCCTCCTCTTCGTCTTCCTCTTCGTCATCGTCCACACTGAAATCCTCTCCCTCTACCAGCAGCCTTTTGTCCACGAGGATCTCTTTTCCCTCTGGAAAATGCAAAGACTTACAAGGAACAGAGCTTCTAAGTTGACTGAAATCAGATGCCAGGACATTATCATCTATATCAAGTCCCACACATGTGGCTCCAGCGCCACTCCTTGAATCAGTTGGAGGGTCTTGGCTCACTGGAGATGACCTGCGTTGAGGTAAAATGTCTTTTTCTGCAGGTGAATGCCGGCCAGATGGAGAGCCATCTTCCTCCTTAGGACGATCAGAACTTCCCTCTTTATATTTGAACGACTCAGCATACTTTTCCTTCTGTTCTTCTGTCTTCTCCTTCTCTGTGACTTCTCCAAATGTTCCACCGGTCGCCCCGAGGTCCGAGTGACCCCTTGGAGCTGAACCAGTTTCTTCTCTTAATGAGGCGGCTGCAGGCTGAATGTCAGCGATGTCACCATCTTGTGTTGGTTGCCTCTGAGAAGTTGAAGCACCTCCTTCCATCATTTCTTCTTTCTCTTTCTCTGATTTTTCAGGCTTGTCTTCTTTGGGAGTGAATGAGTATGACTCGGCAGCTTGGGATGTTTTGTTGTCTTGCATGTTTGTGGAGAAATAGCTCTTGTCGACGCAAGGTGAATCTGCTCTTTCTTCTCTCTGGCTCTCTTCCTCTTGGCCTTTCTCTCTGTCTTGGTCTCTGGGGGAGGCACTTCGGCTGTGGTGGCTGCTCTTCTCGCTCTCTGTGAGGGACACGGGGCTGTAGTCGACTCTGCTGAAGGACAGCGGTTCTTCTTTGTACTGATCATCTAATAGAAACATGGCTCCTCCACTTTCTGTCTGGCTCGCTCTTCGGTTATCATCAATGCACATATCAGACGTGGTATCAAAGCCTAGAGAAATCTCAGTATCTTCTCTTCTCTCTGGATCTTGGCCTTTAGGGACGGGCTTTTCATCTGGATCATACTTGGATGCACCAAAAGTTTCTGTCTCATCTCCGAGGCTTTCGCTTATAATCTCTGTTTTTAAGCTCATTTTTTCACTTGAAACTATTTTTGCACTGCTAGTGGGGTCTCCAGCATCTTCAGATTCTTTATCAATCATGAAATATGAACAGGGTTGTGAGAGTCCTGGAGAGACCACCTCCCTTTCTCCTTCCATCTCCCTTTCTGCTTCTTTTGCTTGCTTCTCTTCTGGCCTGGTCTTTTCCGAGCCACATATACCTGAGCTCAGCTCGGACGACATGTGTTTCTCTTGTTGGAGAGCTTCCTCCACACTGGACTGGCTTTCTGTGCTGGAAAGTATGCTGCTCCTTGGTTGGCTGTCGGTACTAGATAATGTTGACAACATGGGCTTTGTCTCAGTGGCTGCTGATGCCGGTGCTGCTTTGACGACGGCACTACTGCAAACTGCTTCCTCCTCCTTTGATGTTACGATATCGAAAGTCGACTCCGGCTTGGCAAGCGGAGCAGCTGTGGCTTCTGTTTTCACGACATCTTTGTCAACTTCAGGCGAAAGTCTGCTTTCTTCTTTCCCAGAGTCTTTGATGTCCTCATCCAAAGACGGTTCCTGCATCGTCAGAGTGGGTATGATCACTGCGGGATGCTGAGATGCAGGGGGCTGAGTTTGGTCTCTTGTCTGGGGAGTCTGTGTCAGAGTCACGCACACAGAGGAAATATCATGGTCAGATTTTCTTGACTCTACTGACAAAGGTCGGGAACCTGCTCCTCCCATGCAGATATCCTCCTCTTCTTCATCCTCTCTGTCTTCATCTGATGACTGAACCGCAAATGCAGGTTTGTAATCTGACTTGGGAGTCAACGTTGCTTCTCCTGATATTTCCTGTGAAGGTTGTTTGATGCCTTTGTCCTGGTCTTTCTCCTGCACTTCCTCTTTCTCCCATTTTTCCTCTTTAGTTTGATCTGCTTCAGTGTAGTCGGGCTTTGCTTTCTCTGTGATGTCATCTACTTTCATGCAAACTGCATCCTTTTCTGGAACCATCTTCACATCTTCAGCTGGTTTTGTCTTTTCTTCTTTGATGTCCTCAGTCTCATAAGTGTAATCCTTCTCTTGCTCTTTCTCCATTTTCTGTTCTTTGCTCAGTTCGGCAACATGCGCATCGTCTTTTTCTCTCTCCATCCTCTCTTCTGAACTAATAACCTTCAGTTCTTTCTCTTGTTCTTGTGGCTCCCCCTGGATGTCTCGGGAAGACATACCAAGGTCATCTTTCAGCACAAATCCCTGTTGTGTTCCTTCTGACAAAGTTTCCGTTCCTGGATGGATTCCAGACAGTTTATCAGAACCTTCTTCAAGTGCATGTTCCTCCCCAACACTTGTTTCTTTTTTAACATCCATCTTGGATTCTGACAGAATAGGATCCGTATCTTTCTCCTCTGCGATGCTAGTTGTTGGAATGTGCATCTCCTTGATGACCTGACTCTCCTGCTTCATTTCACTTTTTTCTTCTTTAAGAGCTTCAACCTTTGGCGACTCCTTGTCTTCTGTGTCAGAGAGTGGTTCAGTGGTGTCCATCATTTGTTCTGACATGAGTTTTTGGTCAGTAACGTTCTCCTGGGGTTGTTTCCCAGAAACATCTCCTTTATCTTCCTCCACCTTTCCATCCCTAGAAATTTCAGCAGCTTCCTGTTGCCTCTCCTTTTTATCAAAAACACATTCAATAACATCGGCCTTTTCATCCTCTTTCTTAACCTTAACTACTTCAATGTCAGGTTCTTCTATCGTTGCCTTCTTTGTCTCCTCTTTGTCAAGTTTTAAATCTGATGCATCGTCCTTGGTTTCAACCTTCTTCTGCTCCTCTGTGGGAGGAAAAGCACCTGCTATTTCTTTAGTTTCCTGCTCTTTTATGTCAGAAATTGTGTCCTTAGCTGCATCTTTGTCCTCCTTGGAGTGCAGGACATCTACACCATGATCGGGAGCCGTCACTTGTTCTTCTTTGGACAGTTTGATGGGCATTGCCTCCTCTTTTTCTGCTATTGTCTCTCTTGCTCCCTCTGCTGTTCCACAAAGATCTTGGCTGTCTTCTTTGTCTTGTTCATCTTGTATCGTGGGAGCAGCCTCATTACCAACATCCTTTGGAGTTGCTTCATCTTTGACTGTTTTGACATCTGGTACATGCTCCCTTATTACTGCATCATCTTCTGCTATTGGAGGTGCTTTGACAGCAGATGTGACGTCTTCATGCTCTTCTGTGATTGGTCGTTCAGGTGGAAGCATCTCTTTTGCTTCTTTGCTTGTGGTTGTGGTGGAGGATTCAGTATCTTTCTCTATGGTTTCAGGCACTTCTCCCATTTTGGTAACTTTGACTGCATCTTCAGTGTCTTTACTTTCTTTGTGCTCTCTTTTTTCTTCAGTTGTTGGCTTACCAACAGGAGATTCCCTACTTGGTACCTTTTCCTTTCCCTCAGACGTACTGGACTGAACAGCCAAAGTATCTTCTATCTTCATGGCCTGCTTATTGTCTTCTCCTACTGTAGGTTTAAATAGGGATGCATCATCTTTGAGCGTAGTTAGATCCTTATTTTCTTCCTGGCAAGGCTTAGTGCACAGAATATTTTCCTCCTTTGAGATTTTCTCCTCCTGTTCAGTTACTGACCTGTCTGCAGAGATCTCTTGACTCACTGTTATGACTTTCTCTACTTTGGTGTGGCTGAAAGTCAAGATTGCATCTGTACTAATTTCTTGCTCATCATCTTCTTTCCTGGTAAAAGGGGCTTCGTGTGCATCGCTAATTTCTTCATCTTTTTTCGTCTCCTCTTCTCCTTGATGTGTAAGGGGCTTAATGGGTGACACATCTTGTTTTCCCACTTCTTTTTCCTCCTTCTGCTCTTCCTTTAGTTTGATGTCTGAGTCTTTCTCCTTTTTCTTCTCTTCTTTTGACGACTCAGAAAACAGCACATCATCTGCCTTTCCCTCCCCCTGGCTCTCTTCCTTAACGTCACTGATATCTGATGGCTGAACCTTTTCAACATCTTTTTCATGGGTCTTAATATGAAAAGTATCCATCTCTTTCTTCTCATTATCTTTTAAAATCTCTGCATCAGAAATATCATCCTTTTCCGCCTCCATTTCCTTTAAGTCACCACCAGTTTTGAGGTCCAGTTTATGCTGTTGTATTTCATCTTTCTCTGTCTGTTCATCTTTGACTTGTTTTACCTCAGAAGGCACAGCTTCTTTCTGTACTTGCTCATTGATTTTGGTCTTATCATCTTTTTCTGTCTCTTTGTGATCATATTTAATGGCTTCATCAACAGCTCCCAGATCCTTTGCTCCTTCTTTAGCAGGTGTGGTGTCATAAATATCCTCCTTTACGGATATTTTATCTGCCTTCTCAGTCATGATGGACGTCACAGTTGAAACTGATTCCTGAATGACAGATTTCTGATTTTCTTCTTCCCTGGGTTCTTTACGACCTGGGACCTCATCAGTATCTTTTTCATGTGTGACACTGGTGACTTTAACAGCACTTTTATTGTCATCATCATCATCATAACTGTCGTCATCATCTTTTTTATTATGATCTAAGGAACTACTCTTCTCTGGGAATTTGCTTGACCCAGGCACTTTAGGTTCCGTCTCTCTGGTTCGGCTGAAAGGATCCTCTTTGTCAGATGATGGGAGGGAATCCTCTCTGCCCCCAACAGGTAGTTCAGTTTCTGTTAAAGACGATGCAACTGCAGACGTTAATTCTGCATGTTTTCCTTCTTCTTTTGGCACAGACGCAATGTCTTTTTCTGCCTCTTTTATCACTGCAGCCTCTTCAATGTCCCGTTCAAACAATTTATCCTCGGATCTTCCAGACATTTCTTCAAACTGGCCTACTTTCTGTTTGTCTACATCTTTCTGCTTTTCACTTTCCTGGTCATCCTTCGTTTTGGTTTGGCTGTCCTTTGTGGTGACTTCTTTGGGAAGTGCCTCCTCCTTAAGCAACTCAGAATCCAGGAAAACTGTTGTCTTGGTTTCTACTGGAGACTGATGGATTGGAGAATGAGCAGCACTCGAGGGCCCAGACTGTGGAGGAGAAGCCATTTTCACAGTGATGTCATCTGGACTGAAGCAGCGCTCTTCGCTCTCTGACGTCACTGAGTCAGATCCAAAGGGTCTTGTAGGCACAACAGAGGAAATGTCTTTAGGAGCGACAGCATCAATGTTTTCCTCCTCCACTGGCAGATGGTCTGGTTTGACGTCATGGTGAGTCTTTTCTGGAGATCCAGAAACGTCCTCGTTGTCTGTTTTTCTGCTCTGCAGTATTTGAGATGCAGCATAACCCTCTTGAAGTCTTTCAAGAGAAATATCAACGTTAGGCGTTTGGTCTTCTTCTTCCTCTTCGTCTTCTTCCTCCTCCTCCTCTTCTGTCTTGACAGGAGCTTCAGTTACCGTCTTGTCCTCTGCAACAGGCAGCTGTAAATCATTAGACGGAGACTTGGACAGTTTGTCCTCTTCTAAGGAAGGTGGTGACAGACTTCCTGCGGAGGGTGGCTGCTCTTTGCCTTGGCATGTGCTTACTGCCGTTGAAGAAGGAGCCGGGGTCTTGAGCAGTTCCTCAGCAGGTGGTGCAGCAACAGATGCCACTGACTGATCGTCCGCAATAGACGTAGGAAAAGAGGACATTTTGTCATATTCTGTGATGGACGTTGCAGAGGACACATGCTCCTCCTCTGCCAGGGGAGCAGTGATGATGTTGGTGAAAACAGAGACTTGCTCCTGCACACCTGGAACGAAACCTTTCTCTACCATGGCAGCCGCCTGCATCTCTCGCATTCCATGAATGTCTACAAAGGAACCTGTCTGATCTGGAACAGAGATGTCGTAGACACCAACATCGTACTGGAGGTGAGGGATTCTCTCCTCCGCCTCCTCATGGATTTCCTCGTCAGAGATGGTCTGCTCTGTCTCAGAATAGCCGGGGATCATCTCGTCCTGGATGTAGAAGACGGGTTCAGCTCCAGCGGCTCCTTCCAGGGCCACCGCAGGGGGAATCTCACCTGCTTTGTTTTCGGCTTCATCTTCAGGCTTGACTTTGATCTCTTCATCTGCTATCACATCTAAGTCCTCTACCTCTTCCAGTTCAGGTTTCTCCAGCCCCTCCTCTTCTTCCTCCTCCACCTCTGCTTCTTTTTCCTCCTCTTCTTTTCTGGATGGAGTCGTTTGGAAGTCCTGTGCTGTCAAAGCTTTGTTGGACAAATATTCTGATTTCTCCATTTCTTCCGTCTCATGTTTCCTGTCAAGTCCATCGTCCTTTGCCTCTGTCCACTTTGATTCATCTTCATCCACACCTATTCCCATGTCCTCCTCCTCTTCTTCTTCCAGGGCTTTCTTTTCTGCAGCGAGGGACTCTTCCTCCACCTCTTCCTCATCCTGAGATGCAGCTCCCTCATCCTCGAATGTTTGCGCTTCTTCGAGTTCTTCCTCTTGAGCGGACTCTTTGTCTTTCCCTTCAGCTTTAGCTGCTGCATCTGGAGCTGACGCTGCCGTTTCAGGAGACTTTGGTTTCTGTGGGATTTCTGAAACTGCATCTGGCTCTTTGGCCGTCTCATGGGTTGGACTTTCTGCTATTGGCTCAGGGGAAACCTTATCACTCACAGGGAGCTCTGCTGATACGGCTTTTCCTTCATCTTTTTTCAGTTCTTCGAAATCCTTACTGAGGTCTTCAGGTGTGGATACAGCTGTTGTACCACCAACAGGAGCTTGTTTCTCGGTGGGTTCGGGTTTAACAACCACAGGCTTCACTTCGTCTGCTTTGGGCTCAGCAGGTTCAGCCTTTGTGGTTTTGCTTTTCATTGTCTTGGTTTTACTTGACGCTTTCGCTTTATGTAAGGTCTTTCTGACTTCGGGTGTGAGAGGTTTCAGGTCAGGTTTGGTGATTTTTCTCAGCTCAGGTTTGGATGCATCCTTCTTCTTGTCCTCTTTGGACTTGGTCTCTTTCTTGTCATCTTTTTTGGCAGAATCATCTTTCTTTATTTTCTTGATCTCTTTCTTCTCCTTGTCTTTCTTCTCATCCATCTTTGATGCCCTTTCCTTCGAATGCTTCTTCAGAGTTTTCTCTTTCAGTTTTTTCTTTTCTGGCACGTCAGTTTTAGATTTTAGTGTTTTGGCTGGCTTCTTTTCCTCCCTTTTCTCTACAGTGTTTTCCTTTACAGAGTCACTTTTTGCTTCTGTTGCGTTTGACACATCGTCCTGCCCATCAGCTTCTTTCTTAGAGGTCTTTGCTGTGGTTTTAGGAGAGGATTTGAGACTTTCTTTGCTATCCGTTCTTTGTTTTAACTTTGTTTGCTTAATAACCGATGGAGGAGCTCCTGAAGCAATGTCCTTTTGCGTGGCGACAGGATACCTCAAGTAGTCGAGATGTTTTAGTTTTTCCAGCCCCTCTAAGATCTTGTTTTGTGGTGCATTCCCAGGGAACAGCACTCTGATGATCTTTTCTGTAGGGTTGGCAGGTAGCCACACAACTAAGGCTGTAACTGATGTCAGGTAGGGCACAGATATTTCTCCTTCCTTTCCACTAGGCAGCACAATCCCAGTTTTGGCCTTGCTATTGCCAGCCCACTTCTGCATTAAAAATTGCATCTCTTTGCTATCTTTTACTGGGTTAAGAATATACATATCTAGCCTCCCAACTCCCATCTTATGAAAAAGTGTAATGGGCTCGATGGTGTTGCTGACCACTCGATACAGAGGCTCTGGCTTGACTCCTAGTTTACTAAGGTACTGCAGAGTAAGCGAGGCCTCTTCGATGCTGCGTTTCACTTTGAGATTGGACTCTGGTAAACGGAGCTTCTCCGGCACGTTGAAGAAGACGACACCAAGCTCTGGAGAAATCAGGTTTTTCATCCAGTCATTGTAGTTTGTGGAGCCTTGTGACTGCTCCTCCTCCTGCTCTGCGATCTTCCTCTGAAGAAGCCCGTTGATACCCGGGAGGTTGTCGGCGCCGATGTGTGTGAGCAGAATCGAGTCGATGCGGTCCAGGTGACGGACCAGTTTCCAGAAGCAGGATTTCCTCTCGGAGCCTCCGTCCACAAGGATGTTGAAGCCGTTCACGGCGAAGAGCGCCGAGTCTCCCCGTCCTCCCGGAAAGATATAGCAACATGGCTTCGACAGTTTCAGGAAGCCTCCGGAGGTGGGAGGCTCCAGCAGGTCGAAAGGCGAGGGGACGTCTACGGTTTCAGAGACATACTCTGTGAACTCTGTGACACCCTCCATCTTGGGGAGAACAAGCTCTGGGTTCAGCTTGTAGTCCAGGAACTCCCGCAGGGTCTGCTGCTGTCCCACAGAGCTCCAGCCCACCTCCCCACGGCAGGACACAGTGAGTGTTGCCTGCTGCTTGGGGGCTGCTGTTCCCAGCAATTCACTGACCTGCAGAAAAGACACCAGAGCAAATCGTAGTCAGTGTTGGCATACATTAACACGGAAAATTACTGACAGACTGCTGCATCCTAAGTGCACAAAGGAACGTTACCGCAGGTCTTTCCTCCCAGCAGCTGTTGGACTCTATAACCATCACTCCTCCCATATTAACCATCACTCCTCCCATATTTACACATGCTGGCGTTTTCACCTACTCTGTTTTTACCTAGTTTGTAAAAAAACATTTTTGCTGTTATTGCACAGCTGTTTTTCTGCACTGATATGCTGCATTCTAAATAGACTTTCTTTGTAAATGTTAAAAACAAATGCACCTTATATACAGTTAAATAAAAAAAAAGTGATCTGACGCACTTGCACATCTCTTGAATTGTGAGTCTGATATGTCTATTCCTAATAATGTTTAAGACTGTAACAGTTTTCCTGTTACAGTCTTAAACATGGTGGGAGTACCAATCTTAAAATTTTTACACAGATTCCTTTTTAAAGGATTTAGGTCTGGACTTGGAGTGAGTCTTTTTATTGCATGAGCATACTGTAACATAAACCATTCCATTGTCATGTCATCCCAAATATTGTGGTGTTGCCACCACCTCGCTGCGCGAGGATGGTGTGTTCAGGGTAATGTGCGGTAGAATTTATTCTGCTGTAATACGACAATGTGAATGCTTTCACATATGACCAAATATATTTCAGTCTGCCAAAGGTTCAGAAAAGAACCTTTCATTTGTGTTCTAACTGGTATCCAGAGTTTTCTTTTTCATTCCGGGTCACCTGTCCTGGTCATATTGCAAAAATCAAATCTTTAATTTCAGGTAGATTGTGTTCAGTCTGCTGATAGTTGGTGCTGAATGAATCTGTCCTTGTGTTGGTGTGGGACATAAAGTCTCACCATCCAGACAGAACAATGATAAGTTTGGCTTCTGTTGAGTTTGTTTGCTCCTTTTCTCCGTTCAGCCAGTGTCCATCTATTAAAGGTGGTGGTGTCACCATGGCAACGCAGAGGAGCAACAGGTCGCTCCTTATGTAGCTTCAATGATTTGCCCCCATCAAGAAGAACTTCCCCATAGCATTATGCTGCCACTGCTGTATTTCAATGTTGAGGGCATGTGAAATACAGTAGTGGCAAGATCATCAATACAAAGTAGGGCTAATCTCTTGACTGTATTGGATTAACCGATTATTGATTGAAAATCAAAAGATTTCTTTTTCTTTTTTTTTTTTTAGAGAGAATTTGAACCAGGTAAAACTTAAACTGTGCCACTTGAGTAGGTTTGGGCATAATGTATTGACAAAGTTCTTTGTATATATGTATATATTTTTTATACAGTTTTGACTTAATTACTGCCCTGAATATGTTCTTTCAGCAACTGGCCTTTAAAAAAAAAAAGACTGAAAATGATTAATTGATCACTAAATTAGTTGAGGATTATTTCAATAATTGTTTCGGCATGATTAACCCGATTAATCATTGCAGCCCTGTTAGCGTGGAGTTGCTATTACTTTCTAAAAGTTGTACAACTTTGAGTTGCCCCATTGCATAAAATCTCCGCCGCAGTCATAAAAATGGTGCAAACGCTGCGACAGAGACTCACTGCAGGATCAGCAAAGATCTGTGAAAAGGTCTGATGGGTGAAAACTCCGGTCTGGAGAAGAAGGCCACCGTGATCCGAGCTCTGGCCGCTCAAGACCAGCAGCTTGTGTCCTGCAGAATCTGTCACGAGAGACTGGATCTGAGGCAAGGAGAAGGAAATGGAGGGAAAGCGACGGGGAGGACAGTTAAAGAAGAAGCTGCGCAATAACCCTGTCAGGATTAATGAGATCTAGCAGAAGTGTCAAGAAAATTAGGAGAGCTTGGTGTTGTTCTAAAACTGCTCCGTCGTCAGGAAGAGTCCACCTCACCTCTGATACAACGGTGTCATCCGACGGGTTCACAAGCACCACGATCTCTAGGACATCACTTTTGTGGTGCAGAGTCCGCTCTCCTGTAAGATGAGGACCAAAACATGGTGTTATTGTTTCAGGGTGATGGACCGAAAGCAGCACAGGCCTGATGACGAACAATCTGACTGGCAGGTTGCCAGACCTTAGCCTGTGTGGTGTGTAGACTTCCTGTTTGAGCAAAGCCAGCCCTGAGTGTGAGGAAGATTTAATATACTGGCACCTCCATCTTATGTGGGGCAATCCCTATAAGGAGGCAATCAACCCACTTGTGCCTCAGTGCTAGAAAAGAAGCAGGAAAGAGGTCACTGGTTGGTTACCCCAAACCAGAAAGACATTTCCACACTTTGCATCCAGCTAAACTGCGTATAGTTAGAGATACAACTATAAGCAGTTTTATCTCTAACTATAGGAGAGATAGTTAGCAATATCTCTAACTATGTCCTTAGTATGGACTTAATACTCTGTCATAAAATGTGACTGACAAGAGGAAAAGACAGTGGAAACAAATATAACAGTGATTTAAAACAATTCAATAATGTTCCACATACTGTATCAAAAAATAAGTTTGTGCATCAAAGTCTGAAACTTAAATTACCAGCATTAAGCTAATTAGCTGCCTGGCTTTTTCTTAACCCTCCTGTGGTCTTAGCATGATGCTAGGGAGAAGCACAGCAAATCTCACGGTGGTGAAGCGGGTGAGTGTCCCATCAGACCATCAGTTTCAGAAACAACACGCACGAAAAAAACCTTCTAAAAGTGAGTTTCAGTGCCAGCTCTTCACCGCAACAGGGTGAAAAGCTGGCAGGGTCCAATGGACCTGTCTCTTAAGACTGCAGGATGGGTAAATAAAAAAGTATGAAAACATTTTTCAAAATTGATACAGTGGGCAAGACATCTGTTAGAATTATGTTTTGTTATCATTCTTACATTTGTAGTTTTACTAGTTTGTTTTTCTTTTTTAGATTTAGTATTCACATCCCTGAGAAAAGGAACTTGTTAGACTTTGGAGCTGCAGCCACTTCTTATCTTGGGATACTCCTTAAAACGGCCTGTGTGTAGATCTTCCTTTGTCCTTCCCCCACATTCCTTTCCTGCTTTGCTTTGTAATTAAAGACCAGTTCTGATGCAGAGTCAGGACGCATGACAGACACCTTGAAGAAGTGGTTTGCTGTGTTTTCTCCTTTTGCAAAAGACTTGCTTGAAAACTCAAACGTCTGTGGTTCTCTTTTAAAATACCTATCAACATCCTTCTATGGTGACCAAGTGGATGTTAATGTGATATCCAGCATGCAAGCAGGAAAAATGTACAATTTAAACGTATTTTAAAATAGATTTTTTTTTGCATTTTGCATTGATTTGGAGTTCCCAGGACTAGCAATTGTGATTCTTTATAGAATCATTTTTTCTGTACCTCTCTATATATTGCTGTTTTAAAAACTTCAACCCTTTATGGCTAAAAGAGTTGAGATGAAGTAACCTTTTTAACTCTCCTTAGCTTTAGCACAATCTGCATATTAAGGAGGTCTAGTGAGAAGAAGAGCTCATTGATGAGAGTCGGCACTTTCCTTGAGTTGGCAGCTCTAGAGTTTGTCTGAAATGTCTATTCTCAGCACCGATGTTGAAAGCATGTTGTATATCATTTCATCAGATCAGGCATTTCCAAAGAGCTATGGCTAATGATGACAGCCTGAGAAAATAAAAAGTCAGTCTTTTGACAAAAAATGAGGACTATCAGCAGTTTGGGGCTCACTGAACCTTTTCAGAATGTTCAGGCTCACTGATTTGGACAACAAAGACTAGAAAACCTGAAGAAAAAGTTCATCTGTACGCGTCCCAGTCATGTGAGGATCAATTCATTTTACCCCAGTGACAGAATGGCCCTCTGACACCCTGACGTGTTTCTCTCAGGTGAACAGGGGCCCCTGACACAAAATGAAATTGGAGCCCCCACGCAGCTGCTGTCACAATTTTTTTGAGTCTATGCGACGCATCAAAAGTGACACAATTTTAAAGGCTTGCAACTGCCTTGCTTTCTTTGGTCCAAAACTAATACTAGCACAACATTTGCTGCTCATTAATTTTACATCCAACAGTTTGCATAAAGTATGCAAGTAGGTTGCTTACATTTTTTCTATTGGTTTTAGATTACTCATAGGTCTCTCCTCACCACCAACAGTCATACATGAAGCAATCAAGACTTCTCAAATATGCAGTGTAGTTGCATTTTACCAATTCACCAATTCATGACTTTAGTAAAAAGCTATGTTTTCTCCATATTTGTTAAAGCTGTCACCATATTGTGACAGTTTGTTATGAGACAGATAATCTGTGAAAACGATCATTCTCCTCCACCTGCTGCCTGAAACTATCACTGGCTAAAGTAATGCAACGTTCCGACCAAAACAACCAATCAGAACCAGGAGGAGGGTCTTAGCGCTGTCAATCAACTTCATTTACTCACTGCTAAACAGAACAATACAGTTTTTACTGCTGAAAACAATCTTTGAAAATACGATATGATTAATTTTGTAATTGTCAGGGCTCCACTTGTTTTTTTTTTTATTTCTATGAAGAAAAAAATAAAAATAAATAAATTGTGGCGCGCCACCTGTTGGTCAGGAGCCCTTACAATGGTCATAACTTTCCCTCTACGGTGCCCCTGCCTGAGGGAGAAGAGACAGCATTAGCTCCTGCTGGGTGGTACGAGAGGATACGACGGCAACAATGGCGCTCTGTCTGAAACACTGCCGGAGGGGACTGACTGTCGGCATCACTGCCGGCTCTCACATCAGATTCATATTCACTTCCACTTAAAATGAATGCGGCAATTCATTTTCTGTGCAGCTGAATAGCGACTGAGGAATTCAAAAGGTGTCTGGGAATGTTGATTACCAGACGGGGCAAAATGGCTGCGTTTTGAACTAAAATGATTTTAAAAATAAAAATAAAAAAATTATTATTTTTTTTTAAGTTAAGTTAAACGATAACGGTTCAATATTTTAAGGTCATTTTTAAAAACTTTTTTTCCTTTAAGAATAATTGTTTTAGATAGTAGCCTAATCCGCCATGTCTTAGAAGCTTCAGCTTTCTGAACGAATTTCTGAATAACAGGGTAGTGATGGTAACCGGGGCTGAAATGATTAATCATTACTGAATTAGTTAACGATTAATCGCTAACTGGAGGATATAGTCTAAAAAAAGGGCTATTTGCTTAAAGAACAACTTATTCGTAGCAGTAATTAAGTCAAAACTGTACAAAATATCCCTCTTCTGGACAGCTTGGTCTGTAATTGCGATAACTTTGGTGATTCCAGGATACAATCTGCCCCTCTTCTGTCGGCGGCTGTGAGCTGAGCCTCTTCGGCGTCTTTCCTGACGTCGCCCTGAGCTGCGCTCGCATCCCGGCCGAGCCCAGAGGAAGAAGGTCGCTCGTCAGACGGAGCTGGGTGTTTTGTGCTCATTTTGGCTCTTCCTCAGCTGACCCGTTTGATATAAATACCCACGTCTGAACTCCCAAAACGAGAACGCTTGGTTTAAAAAAAAAGGAGAAAAAAACGAAGCTGAAACAGAACGCTGGCTGAAGGATGCCCGGCCGCTGCGCTGCTCCAGATAACGCGCTCCAAAACGAGAGCAGCGGGGAGCACGGTTCAAGGAATTTAAAGACCTCAGGTTAAAGAAACTCATCCAGATGCTAAATCTAGAGTCACCAGAGTACTACCATGTAGGGCAGAGTTGAGATGTTCATCGAGGTTTGACTCACTGAGACACAAAGTACCCCAAAAAACGGATGATGTGGCAAATTCCATATTAAAATGCAAAACCATAATAACAGGAAGGTTGTTTTAAAACGTGAAACAACGGCGGTTCAACAATGCATCTCATTTTGCGAAAGTGACACCAATGTCTGCACAAGGTCAGAACCTGCACGGCTGCTTTAATGTTAGCGTTGGAGTTGCACAATCAGGAATATCGGAAAGGTTACATGTTGCAGCTAAAATAATGACTCGTTCAATTTGCTGATAAACGCGTTTTGCAGAGGTCAGGAGCAAAAGATTTATTCAAATGCTCTCAGCTGCCTGCCAGTAAATGCATTTTCAGGATACAATGACTTTCCGTTGCAGGAGGAGAACAGAATGAAGATGTCTGCCATCAACAAAACTTTTTGCCTGACAGAAAAGTTCAGTGAGAAAAAAAAAATATTGTAAAGATTCCATTTTAGATACTTGAATTTAAGTCCTTTTAAGGATGTACAAACACCCTCTAAATATCACCTCTAGCAATGAAATCATTTTTTTATCAGGTATAAAATGGAAGATAAGAAATATATGGAAAAATGTTCCTCAAGGTTAAATCGCATAAAAGTGAAGTTAAGTTAACCAATCTGTGGGTCAATGGAGGTGAACTGATGGCCTTTTACACCAATAGAGGTTGACTTGGGGCTGACATGAAAAACTTATTATCCTGTTACTAAACTCATTTGCCTAATGTGAGCTCATTCCTCTGCTAGGATGGTATTGTGCGCGCTTGGAGATAAAACTGGGTGAAGTGGCTCGGAAAATTAAAGGCGCTAATGCAGACATGAACGTCTCCATTTTCATTTCGGCGTCCCGTTCCTAGAGGACGGCGAGTCGAATCTAAACGTCCGGCTGGTTGTTTTCTTCTTGTTTTTCTCGTCCAGAAGTGCTGAGCGAGGAGCACTCACAGGACAGTAATTAGTGGTACAGAAATGTTTCTAGATGTTTCTCATACGCACACATCACTTTCACACGTCTCACATCCCGGGTCTGCTGCAGCTGCTCAGCTGAAACCATAAACACCACATCCGTCCGCCGTGATCGGCTCTCATCTGATTATTGTCTATTTATCTCCTGCGCAAGTAACAAAAGCGGCCAGATTCTCGAGGCTGCGGCTGATTCACAACAGCTGCAGGAAGCCGACGCTCCTGACGCTAATCCTGGTCCTGTGATTTAAAACGCTAAGCTGCTAAGCCAGCTAAAGCTCTGCTATGTCAGTAACGGCTAGCAGTCGGCCTCTCCAGGAA